CACGGGGAAGCCCGGCGTGAAAACGGGGCTCCCTTCCCTCAGGCACCCGGCCACGGCCCCCCACAAACCTGAGGCGGCGGCGGCGTCAGGCCGGGCTCGGGGCTCGTCTCCCCGCCGGGGGGCGGGCGGTTCACATGGCCGCGCTCCGGGCGCCGGGAGGGGAGGAGACGCCGGCCGGGGAAGGGGGTTTGGGGGTGCGGGAGGGGGGAGGGGGACGCGGCTCAACCGCGGGGCCCGAGCGGAGCCAACATGGCCGGCGGGGGAGGAGAGAGTCGGTGCCGGAGGGGGCGGGGAAGCTGCGGCCGGAGGAGAGCCGCCCTCCCCGGCCTCCGCCACAGGGTCCTAGCGCCCCGCCGCCCGGCTGCCAGGCCCGAATCTGGGTCCTAGCGCCGCTGGGGTCTGCCAGCCGGCCGCCCCACGGGCAGCTCCCTCGGCAGCCCAACCTCCCGGTGGGCTGCAGGCAGGCAGGCTTCCCAAGAGCCGAACTTTCCGGAAAGGCGTGCCACAATCCCAAGGTTAACCCAAGAGACGAGGCCACATTTATAGACCCAAAGGCATGGGCCGCTTTCTGGGACTGGCGCCTGGATTATAGTCTCAGGGGCAGTTTTATTTCCCGGGCGAGGCAGTGGAAAAATGGAAGTGAAAAGGTTAGGGCGTTATTTAGTCCTGGCAAAAGGGTGACAGAGGCAAGAGCCTGCCACCTACTTACCTTCTGTCCTGTCCGGGCAGCCTGGGCCTGCCTAGATCACCACTTTCCTGACGACATCTGCAGGGCCTTGGGCGTTGGAAAGATTCCTGAGCATAGGGATTGGAGGCTAGGCTCTGGGTCCAGACAACTCGATTCTAGTCTAAACAGGGTCAGAGGGCAGAGAGGATAAGCAGAAAGCTCACCAACAAATAGAGAAGCCAGAAATGTCTACCTACTTTTCAGTTCTAATACTTTTTTTTTGACAGGATTACATAGCTGTGTGGAATCTGGGAACAGAAACATAATAAAACCCATTAGAGGAATTGGCTGTCTTCTCCTAAAACACTGTAGACCCCAGGGTAGGAAACATGATGTTAGAGCTTATATAAGTAGTAGTTCAATCCCTCATTTGTCAGATGGAGAAGGCCCAGAGAGGTTCACTGACTTCTTCAAGGTCAAACAGTGGATAAAATACAACTAGAAAGGAAACCAGCTTTTTAAGTTTCCTTTCTTTACAACTCTCACTTCACAGGATTCATTTCAAGATAACTCCCATTCAATTCAGTCCAATGGATTTCTATTTAAAAAAAAAAATAGCCCAAACCGTGTAAAAAGCTCAGGCTGAGCATTTTGGAAGAGATGATACAACTGGCAGGTTGAGGAGTGCCACCAAATAACTTTGGTCTTTCGGGGGTTGCCAGAGAAAAATACCTGGAAAAGGAGTGTGGACAAGGCAAGGTGGGGCCTAATCGACTGGTCTAGATTGGATATCCTAACTCCACAGATGAGTGGGCTTTTTTCTGAGGGGGGGGGGAGAACTCCACCCATAAATACTTTAGAGGATAAGAAGGAATGCCTTACGGAGAGGGCCAGCAAAGGCTAAGGAGGGTTTCTCTCCTTCGGAGATAAGTAGATTACCAAGGGAAGGAGAAGACAACTAAAGTCCTTCTCTTCTCCATGTCAGACAGATTTATAGTCCCACAGATTTATAGGTCACCTTGCAGGGAGGGAGGGAGAATAAAAGACACTTGACAACTAGCTCCACAGTAGCCTGCTAGTCCTTGAGTAAATTGAGCCCACGTTGGATGGAGAGGCCAGCCAACTTCTGCTGAGAAATGCCTCTTTAATTCCAAAATAAAAAATAAAGGTAGGTTGTACTGGCACCTGAAGGGCGGTGGGGGTGAGGAAGCAGGTGGGAAGGAGAGCTGGTATCCCTTTTCCTCTTTCTTCCCTCTTCCAGGGCCAGGAGAGAATCTTCTACATCCGCCCCAGTCGCTAAGCTAGCCAGTGGGAGACTAGGCAGGCGGGAGGGGGTGGAGCCTGCGCCAGTCAGACGGGCTGTAGCCACGCCCCTTCGCTCCACCACCACACACCCACACACACCCACCGCTGGCTCCACAGGGCTCCGGAAGAGCCGGTTACTCCTGTGCCCCACTGACTGTCCCCACCCCTTCCGAGCCCCAGGCCTAGTCTCCAGGGCAACCTCTAGGTATCTCTGCCAGGAGCGGTGGGATAGAGTAGGACAGGACCACTTGGGGCTAGAAAAATGGGACAGGATCTACTTTTCCTATTTGGTACAAAAAGACAACCACCTACATCCCTGAATGAGTCCTGGCTTTATGGGGATCCTCCTAGCTCCCTGAAGGCTGAGGCTTGCTGCCGATGTGCCCCACAAATGTCTCCCCCCTGATAGCAGTTTGTTGCCCTTCTCACCCTACCCAGGCTACAGAGGGCAGATTGACCCTATATGTGTCCAAACATTCCTCAATCCAATCAGATGTGACCAATACATCCATCCACTCAACTCTCTTTAAGAAAGTACCAGAAGAAATGATCATAGTATCAGTAACTTGTGAGAAGAGCCTTTAAGGATTAGACCAAAACTTCCCTCAAGTCAGGCCTGAGAATGAGAAATTAGCACCTGCTCTACCTTTCTCACCTTCCTGACTCGGGTCAGCTGCCATAGTGCCTGGCTCCACTGGAGAACCAGATGGCTGCGTGGGAGAAGTAGGCCTGCATATTCCCTCTCCCCTTCCAGACACTTCTGCCATCCAACCCCAGTACCATTGCTGATTTCCCCCAATGCCCTCCAGGACCCCTAGATGGTGACTCAGAAGAGTCTGAAACAAATCCTGACAACCACTCTCCTAATTCTGGAGGTGGGGGAAGGAATGAAAGCAGGTGCTATGGGTGCAGCTGGACTTGGGGTAAGGTGTATTTCCCAATGAAGGCAGGGCTAATTGTACACCACACACACAACACCTTCCTAGCAGGGTGCTGGTGGCTCACACCTGTAATCCTAGCTACTCAGGAGGCTGAGATCTGAGGATCTAGAGTCTCCAATTAATGACTCAAGAAAGCCAGAAGTGATAGAGCCCTAGTCTTGAGCACAAAAAGGCTCAGGGACAGAGCCCAGGCCCTGAGTTCAAGCCCCAGGACTGTCAGAACAACAAAACTACCTTCCTTCCTCAGGCTCGTGAGACAGCTCATACTATTAATAGGGTCTAGTAGAAATGGCTCTCAGCCTTGTAAACCATTCCAGTCGATTTGCCCTCCCTCTTAGGTTGAAGCCAATCTAGTTTTTATCACCCTTATATTTTGGAGAGGCTGGATGGTCTATCAGTAAACCTTTCCCTCTCTTCCCTCCAAGTCGGCCTGTGCCCCTCGGATTCCCCAGCTTTTCAATGGGCATCTCTGTGGTGAGCCCATATTTCCTAGGGGCTGGGAGTTCCCTTGGCATCTGAAAATGGAGAAAGTGGTTCCCTTGGCATCTGAAAATGGAGAAAGTGGGGCTTCCTTGCCTTACCTAGCACCCCAATTCCCTCGGAGACTCAGCCTCACTCCATTCTGCCCCGCTAACAGCCGCTAGAGGTCAGGACCACAAGGTTCCCGCTGCGAACTGGCCCCCACCTCCGGGGGCTCTGGGGGAGGGGCGTTCCTAGGCTAGAACAGCCAACCCCAAGCCCAAGAAGAGAGCCCTTCCCACCTAGGCTCGGTGGGCGGTACGGAGGTCGGACCCCAAACATCGAGACGTGGGTAGGGAAGAGGGCCGCGGGAAAGCTTTTAGGTGGGATTTGGTTGAACTTGAAGGGCTGAGTGAAGCCAGGCTGGATAGTAACTGTGGCCTAAGTTGTCTCCCCCTCCTCCCGCGCTTCCTACAAGCAAGGAGAGTTGTTGGGGTGGCGGTTATCCGCCCTCCCATCGGGGTTAGAATGGCGTGGGAAAGCGCGAGTTCCAGAGAGGAGGCGGCAAAACCTAGACCGCGGGAGATGTTTTTTTTCTTTTTCTTTTTCCTGGCAGAGGGGAGATCCTGGGCCCAGCATAGGAGGGGGACCCCGGGAGCCGATGGCGGAGCGGCGTGGGGAGACCCAGCATTCCGGTCGCAGAGGACAGGGGAGAAACGGGCCATTCAAGAAGGGGGGTGAGGGGCGTGTGTGGGGAGAGCCGCTCCCACGGGGAGAGGGAGGGTCCGGTCCTGAGTCCCGGGGTTGGCACCGGGGGATCCGCCAGCCCCGGAGGTGGGGTCCAGGCCTCACCTGGAGCAGGGCCGGGCCGCGAGCACT